CGCCGTTGACACGCATGGCTCCTTAGGCGAAGGATTTGCGAAAGAAATTGAACGATTGCACGGCCATTTAAGACTTCCTTGTTCGGCGGTCTCGTCTGTTACCAACCCCGACTCAGTACGCTATTAGATATATTTTAAACGTAGCATTGTCAGCAAAATATTAACGAAATTGACCTTCCTCCCGTCTTTTTCAATGTATTTGTGAATCTTCTCATTAATAGGATTGTTGCTGATGCGTTGGTTTATTTTTTCACTATTAAGCAGCGCTTCGAAGTCATGTTCGTTCGTTTCAGCGCACAAAACGTACAGGGGCGGATGACTGCGATACTCTCTGCACGAGATTTAAGAGCGATCAACCCTGGTACCATGATAAACTTTCCAGAAACGAGGCAACCAAGCTGCTCATAAGAAGAGGGTACATCGACGGGTAAGCATCAGCTGTGGTGCTTGGCGCTTACAAGCTATCTTTCGTTTCCGTTTAGAACTTTTCTGGTTCGAAGGAGCAACTCACTTCCTTCCTGTTTCGTGCTATCGATAGTCCACAATAAACACGTACTCCATTATCCTATTCGAGTGGTGCGTACCATGATTCGTTTCTTTCTGTACTTGATATTAATTTTTGCATCTTAGTGATTTGCTCTTGCTTAATATTGCCCACTGTCTTCATTGAACGACGCTGAAAACAAATCATTTTAGATCGGAACTAACAGCAAAAAGACTCCAGACATTTTTCTCACCCTAGACGACAGCCGAACGAAGTTCCGCAGCTTATCTCAGCTGGTTGAATTTTACCAGTTAAATACAGGCACAACACTTCCGACGTCATTGAAGATATTCGTTACCCGAAGTATCCCTATTCCCTCCAGATACCATACAGGCATTGCTAGAAGCACGTGACGAGAGGATTTTGCATATATTTTTCTTGTATTTATTTCGATAGCACATACTGACACTGAAGTGTAGATTAAATCTTTGACTGCTCAACGAAATATTAAAGCATGATTTTCTTTGTCTTGGTAGCAGCATGAAAAGTGTAAGGTCAGTGGTAATTCCTTGCCACTCTACCACTTTTCAAGAATATTTTAAAAAGAACCGTAAAATGGGTGAAAGAAACTCACTAAGCCCAGCTCGATTCAAGATCTGCTACACCGAAGTGCGACTTTCAAAACTAGCTGCTGATTACTATCGAACTATGAAAACGAACAACAGTAGATCGTCGAATTCAAAACCAAAGATCCTCGGTTCGAGCATCGATCGGATCACTGGCTCTTCTTTCTTCGGGAGTAGATAAAATACATTGGTACTGTTTTATGGGAAGGGATCAGGATACTTCATGCTGTTTGCCACAAAACTGTAGCCGGTCATTAAAAATCTGGTTGCTAAGAAATTTCGATCCCGGGTACAAGCGGCTCAAATGGGATTTCTGAGACGAGTCGCTGGCCTTACGCGTCTCGACACAGTCCGGAATACAGACATCGGCAAGAACCTTGGTGTACAGCCACTTATCGATATTGAGAAGTCACAGCTGCGATGGTTTGGGCATGTGCTGCAAATGCCTCCAGAAATGAAGGCGAAGTAATGAAGTAATTTTTTGCCTAGCCAAGCGGCAGAAGGCCCAGGGGACGGCCAAGATTACCCTGGTTTAAATATATGGAAGGAGTCCGTTCCAGACTCCAGTTATCTTCTGCCGAAGCTCAGACTCTGTCACAGGATCAGGAACGTTGGAAGCACTGTCTGACGAACCTGCCTCTGCGGCCCGAAAGGAGAGGCGGTCCTGGAAAATGAAGTTGATGGTAAAGAAATGAAGACCATTACGGCACCATATGCTTTATGAAATGCAAAGCGCCACAAATAGCCCCAATCATGAAAGTGTAATGGAGGTCAATCTCGAAGGCTACAAATTTTCCCTTTTCCTATGCGATAAAGCAATCTGCAACAGGCTTCTATTCAGTAATGAGAAACCTGAACTTATGTGAAATGAAATACTTCAAATGTTCCATGCACCGTAAATATCAAATCTGCAATTTTCGGTTCATAAAAAAAGTATATAGTCCTAGGGTGCAAACTTCAGGCGGCTGTGATGCCATTCATCTGATTCAGACGTTTAGATCTGCCGTAATTTAAGCCAAACGCTACAGCAGATGCTAGACCTGATGATATGTATTTTATTCCTGTCGCCACTTAATTTCACGAACGAAAGACGGAAACGGAACATTAGAACTATTTATTATAACATGGGAACAGCTGCCAACATGCACAAACACTGGTCTGCACAACAAACAATATGCAAACACGCGAACTAGTCACTTTGTTATATTCTTCTTTGGT